CTAAGTAAACTTGACTCTATTAGCTATAATCTGTGTGTGTTCATGCAGGTATGGAGAAGAGCTGCTGGGAAAGGAGCATTTATTTAATTGTTAGGATACAAAACTCTCTAGAGATGAGGCAACAACCGATAGTATGTATGCAGTAGTTAAATCTGATATGCTTTCTCAGCAATCTAATTTATCAATTTCTTTTATTATAGTAGTTAAATATGCTTTTTAGGTCTAGGCATTCACAGATACTAGAGGATGACAAATAGAGTTTCATTGCACCAAGATTGTATCAGGTTTTTTTTCTGTGCTGTAGGAGCTGAATTGCTGAAGGGCTTCTCTGTTCATCTCTACCTTGGTTTTTTACTTTCTTTTTTTCTTTGCTCGGTTACTCAGTTCTGGTAATTTCTGGAATCTTATGTAATAGCAAAAATAGTTAAGAACACTTTCATGGCTCCTGGGATGTTCTCTGGTAACATCTATGTGCTATAGAAAAAAAAAGTTGTTAAATGACTATTACCAGCTGCACACTTAATTTCCAGAGCTGTTGATGTTTCCATATGAGCATGTCTTAGATCAGCTAAGGCTGATATAGAGAGTGTACTGGGTTCAAAACTCACTGGAAAAGCACACTTTGATATTTGATACCTGGCTTCCTGTCACAAGAAAGGTGTGGATTTTTAGGGGTTTTTGAGACATAATTTCAGTTCTTGACAGATGACTTCATTGCATTTTTATATTGTACGTTAGGTCATGCAAGGTTTCATAACACAGTAATAACTGATGCAGCACTGGATCATGGCAGCCTTTTTAAATGGATTAAAAGAATATTTCTTATTCCATATACATTATGTGCTTTTTAAATGTAATTCTCTTTAATAAAGGTTCCCTTGAATCAATTCTGCAAAATCACTAATTTCAATTTTCCAAGCACCAAGTAATTCCCCAAAAAAAAAAAAAGGTAAAACACTTCTTAGAATAGGTCCTGAGTGTAAACTAACCTGTCTCCAAGTGTCATCTCTTGAGGCAGACTTGCTTAGTACCTGAGGGATTTGCATAAATGCATTGTCTTTTTTTAATTACCTAGAGCCAAAAAAAAAAAAATCTTAGTAAATATTGGCTTAACTCACAGGGCATTTGCTCAGGGATTTAACTTAAAGGTGACCTACAAGGCTTTCTTTCCCAGCTAATAAATACACCTTAAAGTATCTACCATTTTTTTTCTCTTAAAACACAAGGTATTAAGTGCCAATTTTTCTTTCTTTATTTATCTATCTTTTTTTTTTTTAGGAAGGGTGTGCTGCGAGCTTCGTTCCCCTTTGAAATATGAAAAATGTGACTAGCTAAATATATTTTTCCAATATAAAGTTCATTCCCAACTGTTCAAAGCAGTAAGCGTAGCTGTGTTAATGCTGCATTTGTTGGATACTTGGGATGCCTGATGTATTCTTCAGAACCTTCCCCACATACGTGTAGAATGTGGAAAATGGACTGTCTGGGGGGAATGTAGGAATGCTGAAAGAGTGTGCGGCGATGCAGAAGGAAGGCTAAAGCCCGTTTGGAATTAAATATGGGAGCAGCTGTCAAGGAGAAGAAGGGCTTCTTCAAATACATCAGTAGCAAAAGGAAGGCTAGGGAAAATGTGGGTCTGCTGCTGAGTAGGATGGGTTCCCTGGTGATGAAGGGTCCAGAGAAGGCAGAGTTGCTGAATGCCTTCTTTGCTGCTAGAGCCAGCCCGCAGCAATCCCAAACCCTGAAGACAAGAGGGGAAGTCTAGAGAAAGGAGGGAAAGGAGGAATCAAGGAGGATTGGGTTAGAGATCATTTAGGCAGACTTGACACCCATGGATTCACATCCCTAATGGGATGTATCCATGAGTGCAGTGGGAGCACTCATTATTTAGTGGCTATTACTAAGCCACTCACCATCATCTTTTAAAGATCATAGAGAGCAGGAGAGGTGTCTGAGGACTGGAAGAAAGCCAYTGTCACTCCAGTCTTCAGAAGAGGGCAAGAAGGAGGACCCACTAAACAAGCCAGCACCACCTCCATCCTGGAAAAGAGATGTAACAACTTACCCTAGATGTCATCTCTAAGCATGTGGAGGACAGGATGATGATAAGAGTAGTCAGCATAGATTCACCATGGGGAAATCAYGCTTAACCAATCTGATAGCCTTCTCTGGTGGAAAGATCGTCTAAGTAGATGAGGGGAGAGCGGTGAATGTTGACTACCTTGACTTCAGCAGGATTTTTGACATTGTCTCCCATAACATCATCATAGTCAAGCTCAGGAAGTGTGGGTTGGATGAGAGGACAGTGACATGGATTGAGAACAGGTGGAATGGCAGCTCAAAGAGTTGTGATCGGTGATGTTGAGTCTAATTAGAGGTCTGTAGCTAGCAATTTTCTTCAATACTGCTCAACTTCATCATCAGTGACCTGGATGAAGAGAGAGTGCACCCTTAGCAAGCATGCTGATGATACAAAACTAGGAGGGGTGGCTGATGCTCCAGAGGGCTGCGCTGCCATCCAGAGGGACCTGGACAGGCAGAAGAGATGGGCAGAGGGAAATCTCCAGAAGTTCAACAAAGGCAAGTGCTGAGTCTTGCACCTAGGAGGAAATGACTCCATGAACCAGATCAGACTTGGGCTTGACCTGCTGGGAAACAGCTCTGCAGGGAAGATGCTGGCAGATTTGGTGGACAAGTTGATTAGGAGCCAACGATGTGCCTGTGTGGCCAAGAACGCCAGTGGTGTCCTGGGGCGCATCAAGAAGAGCGTCTGCTATGGGTCAAGGGAGCCCGTCTGCTCAGTCCCGGTGAGGCCCCCCGTGGAGTGCTGAGAGGGGATCTTMTCAATGTGTACAAATATCTTAAAGGAGGATGTCAAGAAGTTGGGGCYAGCAACAGTGCTGGCCAGCAACAGGACAAGAGGGAACAGCCACAAACTGAAGCACAGGAAGYTCCACCTGAATTTGAGGAAGATTTTAAGCGTGAGGGTGACAAAGCCCTAGAATATGTTGTCTGCAGAGATTGTGGAGTCTCCTTCTCTGGAGATATTGAAAACCCACCTGCACACAGTCCTGTGCAACATGCTCTAGGATAGTTAGACAAGATGATGACCACAGCTCCTGTCCAACCTCAACCCTTCCATGATTCATTCCGTATTTTTTTTCCCAMGGATTCGTTATTTCTGACTTCAGTCATTTAGGGCTGAAACTTTACAAAAGTCCAGTAAGAGGTACGTGGGACTTTGAAGCGGCAGTAATATGGTAGATATGTTCAATTTGGATGAATCCAAGTTTAATTTGTAATCGTACCTTTGTATAAACACTGCAACTTCTGCAAGAGAAGAGGAGGACTGAGATTCTAGTTACTAGCGTCGATCTTTTCATTTGATACTTAGATATATGGGCATATACACTTTGTGCTACAATGCATTGCTAGTGTTTCAATTCTGCTTTGAAATAACTCAAATTTTTAAAATTTGAGTGTTTAAAATTTCTGTATATGACAAATATCATAGTAAAGGAATATTTGTGCAGGCCATATATATGGTCTGTAACATTATGGTTTTTTAAGTTGTTCTGATTGACTTTTTGGAACTGATTTTTTTTTGACTTTTTGGTGCTTGCAGTTTTTGAATTAAAAATTGGCCTCAGAGAAATCCATAAATATTAATTTACTTTAAGGAGACAATGATTCCACCTGCATCATTTAAAATGTCTAGGTTTTCAGTGTTCTTATAGTCTCTGAAAGAGAATTGCAGAGCTATAGATGGTGAAAGATTACTTTGTTCCTATTGAATATTTATGCTAGTTTAGGACTGAATGAGAGGGGGACTAGGCATGTGTGATATAATGATCTCAATATTGAACTGTGTTGACTGTCTGCACTGTGTTCATGCTGTCATTGACAAGTGTAATACAACTGAGAGATGCATCTTGCATGTCTCTGGTAAAAGTGCCATTGTTGTCCTTTTCAAAAATGAAGTTTTTTATAGCCTACAGCCTCATCCAAGGAAGTATTGAATAGAGATGTTCTACAAGAGAGCCACTTTGGAAATAACTGTGAATGGTTTTTGTTGCACTGTTATACACATCATACATAGAAAAATGCAGAAGTCAAAGTCCTCACATAAAGATCTACCAGGAATGCCCTCATAAGCAGCCTTTRCTCCATTTCTGTTACGCATCCTTTCTAGTGGCTTGGGATCTTTGGGAGTTGTAAGGGTAACACATTTTCTTCCTGTAGTGCCAGTGGACTAGATTTTGCATTAATCTTGGTTACTGTTGGGCAGTAGGATATATTTGTTTCTACTTTTAGGCATATCATCTACCTATCAAACAACAACAAGGCTCTATCTGCTGATCCTTGCAAAACAGATTCAATATAAAGCTATACACCAACACTATGCCTATCTTTATTAATTCTCTTTTAGAGTGGCAGTTTTCATGCTGTATGTATTTATGCAATAAGTAGAAAGGTTGATGCAACTGTCAAGTAAAATCCAATCTAACTGCATTTCGGGGAGGCGTGGGGGTGGAAAGCAGGGAGGAGTTTGAGCAGTTTTAAAAGGGCTTTGAGTTTTCCATTCATGGTCTCTGTTCCTCATTTTGCGCTGTAGGGTAGAGAGAGGCAATAAACCCTTATGGGACCTATCCTGATGATAGTTTACTTTGGGTTAAGTGTTTTTATAAAATTTTCTGTCTCTCATTTTAATCAAATTCTTCAAATTGTTTTGAACAAGCTATTTTTAATTTCTTCTGGGATAATTTTGGGATTATTTGTCCCTGCTGGAGCAGGAGGATTGGACTAGATGATCTCTAGAGGTTCCTTACAACCTTAACCATTCTATGATTCTGTGATATTTTTGCTTTTATGTCCCGAATCTGAAGAGAATCAGAAAACTTCTTGTCTAAGAAAATATGTTCAAAATACCTTACGCAATTTCCGTAGATCTTACCCTAAATCTTCTTTCATGACCACTTTTTTTTCTGTTTTTTACATAGGAATTTATGTGCTGATGGAGATGGAAAAAGATGAAAGAAAGGCTGATTTCCTGGAGAAAGGTGAAGAAGACAATTTTTTATTGGAACTTTATTACCTTGGAACCATGTTCTGAGTGCTCCTCCTAGACGTCTTTCATAAATGTTCTTTATATCAACAGAGCGATATGATTGAAATTTTTTTCATCAAACAATATTTGCTGGAAGAAACCTGCTTTGAAATTTTCAGTTTGTGAAAAAAAAAGCTATAGACTTCTACATGGTATTTATTAATTCTGCATCTCAGTTGAGCTAAAGCAATCTAGTCTTTGAAGTGAATAGAAACAGAGCCCTCTTGGATACTCTTATTGAACATGACTCATGGAGAAGAGCTTGGCTCTGAGATGCACCAGGATTCTGTTGTTCTAACTTACCTAGAGGGATTACTAATGCATCAAGCAGCAGGAGGCTCAGGTACTGCCGTCGACAAAAAGTCCACTGGGCATAGTGGAGAGGATCCAAACTTTAAGCTCTCTGGAAATATATTTCCCAGCTGTCAAAGTAATGGTCAAGTTCTTAACACAAATACATATCAGGGATCTGGCATGCTGCATCTCAAAAAAGCCAGACTGTTGCAGTCTTCTGAAGACTGGAACGCAGCGAAGAGAAGGCGGTTGTCTGATTCCATTGTGGATTTAAATGGGAAGAAGGAAGCTTTATTAGCTGGCATGGTTGAAAATGTGCCTAAAGGCAAACAGGATAGCACATTACTTGCCTCTTTGCTTCAATCATTCAGCTCTAGGCTGCAGAGCGTTGCTCTGTCACAACAGATTAGGCAGAGTCTTAAGGAGCAAGGGTATTCCCTTAGCCATGATTCGTTACAAGTGGAGAAGGACCTAAGGTGCTATGGAGTTGCATCCAGTCACCTGAAGACTCTACTGAAGAAGAGCAAAGCGAAAGACCAGAAGCTGGACAGCAGCCTACCCGATATAACCAAGAACCTGCCCAAAGAGAGGTTTATAGAATCTCCCCATGCAGTGCAGAGCAGCCCTAAAGTGGTCAGTGAGCCACTGTCGTGTGCTGCAAGATTACAAGCTGTTGCAAGCATGGTGGAGAAACGATCCAGTCCTGCAGCTTCACCCAAGCCCAGCGTGGCGTGCAGCCAGCTAGCTTTGCTGCTCTCCAGTGAAGCTCATTTGCAGCAGTACTCCAGGGAACATGCTTTAAAAGCACAAAACGCAAATCAAATAGCAAGTGAGAGACTCGCAGCTATGGCCAGGTTACAAGAAAGTGCCAAGAAAGACGTTGGCCAGTTTGGTGTATCGAAAGGAGTGACAAGCCATCTCAATGGTCAAACAAGATCATCAACCAAAACGGTGTCTAGCAAAAGCAATATGCCACCATTTCAGAGCTCAGCAGGAATCATGCCCTCGCCTCCCAAAGCGGTGGGATACAAAAGTACTTTGGAAAGAAGTAACTTGAAAACCTCTCCCAGCAACAGCTTGCTCTTGCATCTCCTGAAAAGCCAGAACACCACCAAACAAGCCAGAGGGCACGAACCCACTGAGAGAGCCAGCATTTTTGAGGACAGCAGCACGCCAACAACTGTTGATGAGTATTCAGACAACAATCCTAGTTTYACAGAAGATGACAGCAGTGACGATGAAAGCTCCCATTCTAACTGTCTTCCTATAGACTTATCCTTTAAGCAGAGGACAGACAAACCGGATGCGGGTCCATCTGCATCTCTGGATAACCTGACTCAATCCTTGCTTCATAACTGGGATCCAAAAATTCCTTGTCCAGAGAACAAGGAAGACAAAGACACTCCGAAGGCTTCTAAGTTGAATCCCCATCAGAAAGTAACCCTGCTTCAGTTGTTACTTGGACATAAGAGCGAGGAAAAGGTGGACAAATGTAATGACCCTCAGGGACCACACAGTGCAGCTGATGTGGCAAAATTCACTGTACAGACTGGTAAAAGGACTCCTGTTACTGACAGTCCCAGTGCGAACCGCGTGACTCCATTAAGCACTCCACCTCTGCTGGCTTCCACAAAAGCAGACTCTCCCATCAATCTCTCGCATCAGTCGTTTCTAGCCATGAAGCGCAGCTCGCCACCCTACGCCTGCAGCCTCCCGCCAGAGAGGCTGGCGAATCCCGCCTCTAAGCATTTGATAGACCTCTCCAAAAGCAAAGAAATTCAGGGGGCTAAGCTGAGCAGAAACGAGAGCCCCCAGAACGCCTCGGCTTTCAGCGCCAGCAAGCTGCTGCAGAACCTTGCGCAGTGCGGCATGCAGACGGCCATGGCCAGCGAGGAGCAAAGAAGCAGCAAGCAGCTGCTCGCTGGGAGCACGGAGAAACCCGTGGGCCTCATTGACAGRCTGAACAGCCCGCTGCTTCCCAATAAATTGAGCACGCAGGAAGAAAACAGCAAAATATTCGGCTGTCAGCCTGCACCCCCTGAACAAGGGCTCCCCGGTTCAGAAATAGAAAATCTCCTTGAAAGGCGCACTGTCCTTCAGCTGCTTCTGGGCACTCCGAATAAAGGAAAGAGCGAAAAGAAAGAGAAGATGCTTTTAAAAGACGGAAGTTCTCAAGAACCGGTGGATAAGGCTCTGAGTGAACAAATATTGACAGTGAAAATAAAAAGTGAACCTCCTGAAGAATCAAATGTTCCTTACAACTCGAATGCACAGCAAATACAAGAGTGCAAAGGTAACAAATTTCAAGGATTTGTTCATTCGCTGCAGAGAAGCACGGCTGCCTCTCCAGCATCTCCAGACTTGAAATCTGAGCCTCTTTCACCTCAAGATTTCTCTTTTTCCAAAAACGGCCTGCTAAGTAGATTGCTGAGACAGAACCAGGATAGTTACCCCGCGGAGGAGCTGGACAGAAGTCACCGAAACAGCGAGCTGACGCATCTCGAATCAAAGAGTCTTTGCACCGTACCGAAGAAGAGGAAGCTTCATGCGGAGCCTTCGGAAAGTCCATTAAAAAAGATGAAAAGTAATGTGTCTGATGCTGCTGGCAACCACGTTTCTGCTGCAGAAGCGCTCTATGGGCCTTTGCTTAACCAGCAAGAGCTGAAATTCAACAGAAGTGATACTGAATTTAAGTATGCTGTAGGTCACGGTTCAAGTAGCGAAAGTGAAAATAGGAGCTGGTCTAGAGATAGTAAAGGCTTTAATGTGTTGAAACAGCTGCTTCTGTCAGAAAACTGTGAGAGAGATGTGTCACAACATAGGAATAACATACTGACTGAGGGCAAGAAAAAAGGCAGCAAAAGCAATGCAACGGTTAATAAACCTGAGTTCAGCATTTCTGCCGTGAACTCGCTGATGGGAAGTCCTGTGCAGCAGAGCAATTGTGTAGATCACAGAACATTTCAGTATCCGGTAGCAGTAAAAAGTCCTGCCAGTTCCCCCTTCCCTGAGCATTTGGGGAGTACCGTGTCTAGACCTGAATCTGAGCAGTTCGGTTTGTGTCCCGTGCCCAGTGAAAAAGGACCCATCAGATGGGTCATCACAGGCGTGGACAAGAACGATTACGAGAAAGAATCTCCGAGACTGACCAAAACCAACCCAATATTGTATTACATGTTACAGAAAGGTGGCAACTCTGTCAGTAGCCAAGAAGCACATGACAAGGACATTTGGAATGAGCCTTCGTTTACTGATAGCACAGCCCGCGTTACAATCAAAGAGGAGCTAACRTCTGATGCGGAGCTAAAAAGCCCTTTCAACAGCTTGCGAAGCCCTTACAACAGCCATATGGGGCATAAGGCCTCTCATCAGCATGGTGTGAATGGAGAAGTGCATGGACTTTTGGAAAAAGTGCTAACAATCAAAAAAGAGCCAGAATAAAATACAACCTCCCAATGAGTTTACAATCAGTGGTTTTGAATCTTTGTTTTAAAAAAAAAAAAGAAAGAAAGAAAAAGAAAAAAAATGAGTATGAACTTGAATACTGTATAAATTGAGCATGATTTGAGAAGAGCATGGTCTAATTGAAACGTTTTCATTTGATAAACTTCTTATTTTTCTGGTGATGTTATTTAAAACACATGTAGATAAAAATTGCTTTATAATAGATTGTCACAAGGAAACTAGAAAGGTTGTAATTTGTACGAAACATTTCTGTATGCATCTGATTAAGTTATGAGCACTCTTGGATCAGAGTCTTACTTGGATCTGCAAGTCCTTGGCATAACATAAAGTATCAGTGTACAGCCTAGGTGGTGGTAATGCTGCGTTTCCTCCCTCCTCTGTAAAATAATCCTTTTTTTTTTTTTTTTTTGGGAAGCCTAAGCATAGAGACAGTGTACTTTTTTTGAATATTTAATATGTTTTGTGAAATTTTAAGAATAACTTTTAAGAAATGGAGCAGTCCGTCCAAGGTATTAGCTCATCATATTAGCAAACCTGTGTCAGTGTTAATAACTGAAGTGCACTGAAATGTAATTTTTAGTGCTTCCAAATTTTTATTGTTATTTTTAAATCCTGTTTGTGGTCCTTCCAGAATAGTGGTGTAACATCTACTTTTTTTCTTCCTCCTCCCTTTGAGAAATGCCCTCCTCACGATCCTTAGCTGGAGTTATAAGTTCTTAGTTATGAGTAAAATTTTTCCTAGATTTTTCTATTAACAGTAGATTTTCATGTACTCTGCAAGTACTGCATGAGTCTTCTGTTGGCGCATTCCTGTCCTTTCCCAGCTTACAAGGGGAACGTCAGAATATCTCTTGGAGCACTGAAAAAGCCTGTCATTGATTTAGTGAGGAAAACAGTGGACAGTTGTGAATGGGATAACGCGAGTTGTTTGCTTAGGACCACCTTGCTTCCTTTACCAAAGAGCATCAGCTGCACTGAAGCGCCACATCTGACTTCCACTTGACTACAGACTTGGGTTTCACTGAAAAACGAGTTGGCTTCTCTCTACAACAAGGGGAAAGAATCCATTTTCTGCCAATATTTATTACTTTAATGCACTATCCTCTAGTAGCAGAAAAAAACTGCTTTTAGAATAATTTTTCTTTGAGGATAAAATTGTAGTTTTTTCATGTTCTGTAATGGGTAGTGGGATATGTCTCAGAAATGCCCCTGTGCCCTTTTCCTTGATCCCCACCTGCGCTGTGATTTGTAACATCTGGCAGTATCAGCCGAGTTGGAAGTAACTGAATATTCCAATGAAAGCTGAGGCACCGTGAAAGAACTGCTGAGTGGGGAGAGCCTCGGAGCTCCGCTTTCCCCGGAGCCTGGGTTAGCTCCACACGGAGGCAGCCCGCAGTTCTCCCGGGGCAGGCAGAAAACAGAATCAAGCTCCTCTAAATTATATGCGTTATTAGTAACTGTAAGTTTTGCTGCATTTTGATTTACCCACGACACAGAGGTTCTGTGCCGTGTCAGACTGAACCAATAATTGCCACTGTTACCAGAAAGCAGTTCAGCATTTGGCCCGTGCAAATGCATCTCTCTCTCTCTTTTTTTTTTTTTTTGTTTTAATTTTGATTATTTTCACTGCTGAGTACTGATGGTGCGCCAGAACTTTTCCCAAGCTGCTGTCTCAACTACACACAGCAGGATTTTTCCTCCCTTCTCGTCCCCTGCTCCCAGTCCGGAATCAGTTTGCGGCCTTTCTAGTGCTGTCCCTCCAAAAGGGCCTTATCCCGGGTGCCAGCTGGCAAATGTACCACTATTCTGCTTTCTCCCCGCGGGGGGATACCTTCTTTTAGGGAACACAAACATTTGGCAGTATCTAATATAAAACATTCCCCTAGGTTTATATGAGAAGTAACAGCAATTTAAAGATATATTTTTATGTTATTTGGGTGAAGCGTAATATATTGATGGGCTGTACAAAGAAGATTTCTATTTTAAAACCTTCACACAAATTTAATGTCATTTTAAATGTCATTGTCGGAAGTATAATATAAAAATAAAATTTTGTTTGTCTTTAATATTTGCATTTATAAGTGGCCCAATGACAATTCAAATGTGTCATAGAATAATCATGAACGAGATAAAGTATATTTTAGATTGACAGTGGAAATGAATTCTTTTTATATGAGTCAAACCAACATAAATATTAAAAAGATGGTATTTGTTCCATCCATTAAATGTCTCTTAAAAGTCTTAATTGATTATTTTTCTTGAAACAACATGTATATAGTTAGGAAATATATGCAATATAGAATAATAGATGGTCCCCAGACTAAATACATGGATATACATTTACTTGAAGGTCTCCACAGAAAAAGCAGCATGAAATGGTGTGAGATAAGGCGTTTGGAAAACTTTTCAGCAAAAGAAAATTCAATTGAAAAGCAGGAAATGTTGTCTAACTAACCTAACAGAAAGTACTGCCGGAGTCCCAGGAGTGTGCTTACCTATGTATTTATTCTGTGGTAGTCTATTGTTATAATATATACTTTTGAACATTTAGTTTTTAAAGCTTTATAAACCATTTAAGTTAAAATGTTAATTGCCAAACAGTTTTATTGGTTAACGGTTTAGCTTTCCTCATAGGTGATGTTAATTAAAAAAAAAAAAAAAAGGGTATTGCCATTCTCACGGACGTCAGTAAAGTGTTAACAAAAATATATACAGAAATTTAATCCCTCGACATGCTGTTCACAGAAGAAGCTCGATTCCTGTTGAAGACCTGGCAGTCTCAAGCAGTGTGTAACATGACAGAGTGAGGCCCTTGAGAGGCAGACTTGCCGATCTGATGCCCTTCAGTCGGACGCTGAGGGTGACAACTCTCCTCTGTGCCAAATGCTCCAGTATCACTCAAGATACTCCTCCCTAAGAAAGAGAGTGCTCTCTAAGTCAGCCCTATCCACAGTTTTAAACCTGAGGGGTTTCATCTTTATTATTTTTTATTACTGTTATTTTGTAGCCCAGGTAAGCAGGAGGAGGTCACCTTCATTTTCCTTGGGAAGTTGTCCTTCTCAGTTGTCCCGTGGGAAAAGGGAAGCGTAGGAGCAGCTGGATGTGCTGCACCAGCAGAAGGACCGCCACACTGACCCGAGGAACCCAGAGATCCTCCACTCCCACTGCCCCWGTAGGGCTAGTGACAAACCCAGGTCATCAGGGCAGGGCGCTGCCCTCTCCTTGATTCCATAGACATTTACTCCCAGGAGCTAACGCATTGCAGCTGTCCCCAGGATGCCTCCTCGGGGGTGCGAGAGAGAAGGCAGAGATAAGGCAGCCTCCAATGGGAGGCTGAGGTTTCAGTCTGGCCCTTTGACTGCAGGCTTGAGCAGAAACCGTGCGCTGTGTGACTTGCCAAGTAGGGCCCTGTGGGCGGGAGGCGTGGGGCGCCCTGGGGCTCTTGTGCAACATCACAGTCACCGCASAGGGAGAGGAGGAGATGAGGGAGAGGAGGAGACCTCCCTCCTGCCCAGGGAGCAGTGGAAAACTGCCTTGAGGAGGTGCCTACACCATCGCTGAAGATGCCATTGCCGCCCCTTGGGCCTTTTGGCCGAGCCGGCCTTAACCTCCCTAGCAGAGCAGCAGCAGCAGCAGCGGCAGCCATGTCGTGAGGCGCCCTGTGCCTCCTTCCAGGTCATAGCCAGGCGGATGTTCAGGCTGCCTCTGCCACCTCTTGGTGTAGCGCCCAAGGGAAACAGGTTTGAGGGTTCACTTGTAATTGTCACACAGGTGTATTTTTTATTTGCCCCAGAGTATACGGAGCTGAGGTAGACAGGGCAATTTCTAGTATCTGTCCTGCCCAAAYTGAGAAAATAAGAGGGAAGTAATATATGACCACAGAATCAAAGCTGTTTTGCCAGAATCTTTTCTACTGATACTGTCCAACCCATCAGTGCAGTTGAGACGTCGATAAGCGTTACAGTTGAAAAGGGAATTCAGCCATAGCTTTTGCTTTTTTTAGCCATTTCTTCTTAGTAATGTTTTTAAATTCTTAATTTACAAACGTTTTTAAAAGAAAGAAATGAATGGTTTAAATTTTCCCTGTTAAATGTTGGTGAAAGTATTRCAGCTCTCATTGACGTCAGTGACATGATATTACCAGTTTGTTCTCTGCTACATCTTACAGAGGAGTAAGCTGGTAAGTATATATTATATATATTTATATATAATGTAAATATTATTGACTTGTTACACCTATAATATGTTGAAACTGGTTTTTAAAAGGTGATGTAAATAGTGGTTTCCTTAATGAAAAATACATATTTTGTATTGTTCTAATGCAAAGGAAAAAAACCTTTTAATCTTTTTTTGTTATGTATATTCCATGTATAAGTGTAAATATGATCACATAGGTTTAAAAACTTTTGCATGTATGTATACAGTTGCAAGTCTGGAAGAATGTATAGAAAAATACTTTTATTTAAAGTTGTGATTACCTGCTGCATGAAAAGTGCATGGGGGACCCTGTGCATCTGTGCGTTGGCAAAAATGTCTTAACAAGTCAGGTCAGTTCAAAACACAACAGTATTCCACTTCTGGACATGACTTCTGCTGTGGTATTTTAGCTTTGTGAAAGAATGTGCTTCAAATCAAAAGGGTCTGGGAAAAAAAACTCAAAACTACTTTTAAAACATGGAGAATCCATACAACTATAATCAGTCAAAGAAGTTCAGGATTCCACTTTGCATAATTGAAATATTGTATCAGGACTATTCCGTCATTGTAAAACAAAGGAATATTGATTTTCATTGCCATACATAAGAATTTGGGGATTTACAACAACCAAATTCGTTGTGATGTGTTTTCAGCAATTAATCTAACTGGTCTCTCTCTTTTTTTTTTTTTTTTAATTAGAAATTAATTTCCTCATGTGATGTCACAAAACTGTACATACTGCAGTGTGAAGTTTTTTTAAATCTTTCAGTGTTTACTTCCTGCAGAAGATTTGAATAAATGAGAAAAATGCATTGTCTTGATGGTTTTTAAATCTGCTTTATTTCATGTGTACTTTTTATTATTGGAGTGTTATTGGGCTCTGAGCGCTATTAATACAAATTTATGACAAAAATAAGGGATTTGCGGGCACTATATATATTTCAACAAGAATGAAAATGAAAAATGAGAGTCATAGAGCTGGATATGAAACAAGTTAAATCAGATTAGCACTTTTATTTTACAAGACACTTTATTATGTATAAGATAGCATTCACTTTATTTACTTGACATCATTAGTCATAAACTGGAAGTTTTTAGATAAGAATATTCCCACAAGACTTGTTTGGAACAAATGTTGAAGTGATTTCAGAATCTCTGTGCAGTATTATTTTTCAACAAAAAGGGCATGTTTTCCCATTAAAACAGGAGTTGGCCCATGTCACAGGGAGGACTTTTCAGTTGTGTTCCGTTGTGTTCTTAAGCAAAACATGTTGAAAAATGAACTCAGTTTCTCCATGAAGACTAGACAAAGATTGAACAGTGTGCTTGGTTTATATTTTGGTGCTCTTAAATTGGATTACAACATTAGTGCAATTTGTGTTTTACCAGAGAATTTGTGTTTGACAGATGCATAGGCAAAGTGTGTCTGGAGCTGTACAGCTGCAAGCAAATCACATGAAGATGTCATTCYTGGGTAATACTGCAGCTATTTTCATGAATTATCCCATGTTTTCTCTCTGATCGCTTCAGACAACAATAAATATGCGTTTGTGAGGTTCTTGCGAAGCTTCTGTAAAATACCAATTGGAATTTGTAACGTTAATTGGAAAGCAATAACTCCAGCTCTGTAGATTTCAGATAGATCGTCAGACTGCATGTAACCAAGCATTTTGACTGTTTCTGTAGCTGGTATGCTGAATTGAGTTGGCAAGTATCCGGCATGTGATTGAGAGACCAGCTGTCCATAGGATCACTTCGGATGTCTTGTCTTAAAGTGTGTGCCTTAAAATATAATGCTACCACTGATGCTCCGCCCCACTTTGGAGGGAAAAGCTCTTGCGTCCTCCTTATGCTCAGCCTCTTTTCTCTTTAAGGAGACCTGCCCCTGGTTTCAGGGGTGACTGGCGAAGGCAAAATACAGCCCTATAAAAATGCTGCGTGCCTGCAGAGGCAGTCTGGTTTTCTAATGATGCAGCTTGAAAATCACTTCAGAAATCCATGCTTCCCCACTGACATGGCTCCTTTAATTTTGCTTCTACCAACTAAGCAAAAGCAACAGTACATTTATTTATCAGGTGATGATGTCAAGGGCAGTTTATTGAAGCCATCTGAGTATCATCCAGTTTTTTGGTTTATTACTCAGCAAGAATTCAGGGATGTATKGTAACACCAAGGAAAACTTACTTTGTGTCTACCAGAAACATATAGGCCTCTGGAGGGAGCGTATGGTATGCGAGCAGTCTTTGGAGTGACGAGAATGTTGAAAGGGTGTTAATATTCCAAGAAACATTCACTCCAAGTGAATGTTAACAACTTTGCCTAGTGATTCGAGCTAAACTTGTTCAAAAGTGCCTCAAACTGGCAGTGAACTCTACAGGCAGACCTGTGGTGATGCCGAATTG